GTTTCTGAGCTGGCTCCTTAGGAAAAAAACCTTTGCTTTCTGCCTTTCTGGTCCTTAAGCAGAGTGCCAAATACAACGTGTGRGAAAGAGGCACGGTCTTTTGATGATTGTGCCTCATGCTTGAGAAGGAAACAGCTGTCTGACCCATCAAAAACAGTAATAGTTGTGCTTTATTGATCAAATTGAGCTGGCGGTTTGCTCTCCTCTCAGTTTGATCTTAAATGCATATTGCATCAATTCAGCCCAAAAGTCTGTATTTTGAAGTCCTAATTCCTACTCTGTTTGGTTCCAGATGGTGAACTGGGTCCTAGTGTCCCCTACTTGCGTTTCAGCAAGACCTGCCTAAAGAATGTTTTTTCAGTAATTCTCCTGTTCATTTATCTGCTGCTTATGGCTGTAGCTGTGTTCCTTGTCTACCAAACCATCGCTGACTTCAGGGAGAAGCTCAAGCACCCAGTGATGTCCGTCTCTTACAAGGAAGTGTCCTTGTATGATGCACCTGGTAAGACTGGTAATGGATAAAGTGGGTCCAGTTACTGTTCACATTTATCCTGGATTGTTTTATACAGAACAACTTTTGATGCCAGTTCTCCAGAGTCCACTGTGCGTATAATGTTTTCATGCAGATTTTCCACTTAGTCTTGTTTAATCTATAGTGTGTTGCATGGATTGTTAACATTATAGGGCAGGCTTCTGGGCAAGTAAGTTTTTGACCAGTTGGTTGCTTGATTTTTCTGGCCAGTAAATCACTGACAGGAACTGTGGAATCTTATACTATGTTTAGTAGATAGGTTTTTGCAGACTCCAGAACTGGCCCTTTTTTTAGAGGTAAGAAGATCATTCATTACAGAAGTACTCCACAAGGTGTTTCATCGAGCAGCGTAGCACACAGGATCTGTACCAGGACCTCAGCAGTGTAAAATCAGGTACTGTTGACAGCAAAGGAGATGGATTTATCAAACAACCACAAAATCGTCACAGTGCTGCTTTCTGCTTCTGTTCTGCATTGTTTACAGCTGGTCATTGCTCACTGATGTAATAGCTGCATCATGTGACTGGGAAGAAGAGTGTTGGCATAAAAACACAGAGCAGCATCAGGGCCCTGTGCTGCACTTTGCAGGAGGGATTACTCCACAAAAGCATTTTTGAGTAGTGACTGCCATTATTATTTTAATTATCCTGTAACCATTCACAAACAGAGCTGGGGTAGCAAATGCAACGCAAGCAGCCTTGGAAGCTRCTTGTAACACAGTTTCCAATGCCAAAATAACACTGTTGCTCGAAGTGTCAGGGCATTTCACAAATACCTCCCTCCAGCAATTGTTGCTAAAAGGTGTTGTATGCTGTTGACAGCTTCCCCTAGTTGTTTTTCTGTATGGTCAGTTAGACTCAGCTCTGTAAGCATGTTCTTGGATCTGACTGTAGGAGCAGCCTTTCCCTGAGTTTTCACGTGAGCTTTTCACACAGCGAGAGGGGGGAAAAATCCCATTTAAAGAAGCAGAGCAGTGTGACTATAAATCTGAAAGTATTGGCAAGGGGTCCTGCCGCATCAGAGAACATAAATTAGAGTAGCCCTTTACTGCTTTCTGCTGTTGCAGTGATGGGATTCCCAGCTGCAAGCTTGGAGCACTGAGCAGGGGATAAASCGTTTGTAGATTTAATGTGTTCTGACTATTTTCACATCTTGCATTTTGACAGACAAGCTATTTCTGTTGTGCAAGATATTGAATCATACTGATAACCCAGATTATGCTTTTCAGTAATTGATCTAGATTATCTACAAGTGAGTTTGCTTCTAATATTAAATGTGGCGTGAAAGGATTACTTTGGGGTTTTGTTTTCTACTAGCYATCTAGGAGGTGAGAAAAATACGGTACAGCCTGTTTTTTTTAATGGATGCTCCTGGTTTTGACAAAAAACAGTATTTGAAAATATGCACGCACAGAAGCACTTCATGCTCCACTTGCCTGAAGTGGTCTCCTGACTTGGGCAGTCTTCTCACCTGGGGCCAGAGGGCCTGATTTTGGGGAGGGCTGGTGCAGCTTAGCAGCTCCTGTGAACCTTGAATGGTGTTAGCAGARCATGAAGGGAGGTTTTCTGCAGTGCACTGCAGGGCTGCCGTCCTGATGTGGCTGGCATTGCTCCCCTGCTCTTGCTCAACATGGAGCCACGTGGTTTAGCTAAACTCTTTGTTGGAACTTGGCAGGATAGCCCAGCATCCTGTGGGATTAAATCCCAGAACACAGATCCATGTGCTTGGGAAAGAAATCAGCTGTCTTCCACTTTTTTCCTCCCAAACAGGTATTGCCTTTTACCCAGGCAAGGCTCGGCTGCTTAGCTGCAAGCATCATTACTATGACCACATTCCACCTCTGGTAAACCCCGGTCAGCCAGGAGACATCGAGTGCACCACTCAGAGAATCAACTACACAGACCCTTTTACCAACCAAACCATGGTAATAATAACAGAACAAAACTTAGTCCGTGTTTTTTTCTTTAGTTTGTTTGTAATTTGAAAGTAAAAATACAGAGTGCTGCAAAAAATCCAATACCTCTTTTTTAAAAATTATTAATTTTGTCTCTTTGTTTTCAGAAACGTAAAGTCAGTGTGAATGTTATAGATGATCAGCTGTTATGTAGATGTGTGTAGCATGAAACCCTGAGAAAACCCAGAAAAGCCTCATTTCTGACTGTTCCACTCTTGCATCTTCTCTCTCCTAAATGAACCGGCAAGCAGCCTGCTTGTTATCATAAAACTACCTTTGGTTGAAAGCAGTAGCAGTTCCTTCGTTAAATAGGGGTATCTTCTATCTTTTTGTGTGTTTGCTGGGGAGGAATACTGTTTTTGTCCCACTTGGAAAAGTTTTAATTTGACCCCAAGTATTTAATTACATCAAGACACAGAATATAAGATGAGCCAATAACATGAGTGCATGGAGTCTGTCTTAAAGGTGTCCTTAAAATGCAGCAAATCTAGCTTCTGAATGGATACATGTTCAGAAAATACAGTATGAGATATGGTACTTTTTATGTCATCTAAAGTTGTTGCTCAGGTTGTTTTTAAGGAAACTAAACACTAAGACATAAACTGTTTACCTGTTTGGCCAGCTTTTTTTCCCCTTTGTGTTTTGCTATTCATCCGGTCAGCATTTTTTTTCTAGAAAGTAGCTCATTTTGTTTATTTAAAACTAAAATTCTAGGCGCAAGTCTGGTATTTTGTTTTGGCCACTATTGCTTTTTGTGCACAGTTTAAGAGTTTGCATCTTGTGGAGCCCTGTGTTCTTCACATTAGACTCCAAATTCACTTGTTTAGTACTGAGAGCTGAAAGTTTCCAGGCTTTAATACTCAAAACAGTTTTGATTTTCCTCCTGCAGAGTGCAGGTAGAAGAGCTTTAGCTGTTAATTCCTTCCATGAAGCCACATGACTGTGATAGAATTAGAGCAGATTTCTTAGGGAAAAAAATCTTGATTTAAAGACCTTATTCTTGCATTAAAAGCAGGACTTTAAGTATGCCTTGGCATTCTTGTTAGATATTTTAGTAGATGGTACTTACTAGAGGTCTAATATGTGTGCATTAGATTTCTATAGGGCATTTGTGAAAGATGGCAAAATCATGAACAGGAAATGAGGATTCCTCTCATTCTTACTGTCTGTCTGCTTACAGAAATATGCTTTGGTTGTTCAAGGCCCTCGAGATGTGAAGAAAAAGGAGCTGGTGTTTTTGCAGTTTCATTTGAATGGGACAGACCAAGACTTCAGTGCAATTGACTACCTACTGTTTTCTTCCTTCCAGGACTTCRTCAACAGGTATGCACGGAAAGAAAGGGAGAAGTCCATAATTTCATTGAACTCACTATCATAACAGTGCTAATGAAAGCAAGGTTATTTAAATGGAAATTCCAGGAGCTTTATGATAATTCCCATCAAGTTGAGGTATCTTTGAATGAGTTTGGTACACTTATATGTCTTATGGTTTCTAGTTGCTAAACACACTTCTAAAAAAAATGAACTGAGGACGTTTTCAGTGACAAAAACTGCCCTTTAGTCATTTGTGGCTTTACTTTCTTAGTTAGAAGAGTGTGCTGGCCGTGGGTGATGAGCAAGTGGACTTTACCAGCCAGGGTGATCATGAAATGCCCTGAAAACACTAGAGCGTTTTGGTTGGTTGGTTGGTTGTGTGTGTGTGTTTTTTTGTTTGTTTTTGTTTTTTTTTAATTATAATAGAAATCAAATCTTCAGTTGGATTAATTGTGAGTTCAGTGAAAGATGAAGCATGTCTGTTTGTATTACTGGTTTTATGTAAGATGCCACAGAATGGTGTAATTCCATAGATGATGCCGTCAAAAGTACTGCTTATGGGTTGAATGCTGGTGCTGCTGGAGCGATTAATCAGCCTTCCACTAATTTTAATAGCAACAGAGTTAATCGTGTCTTGATCCTTCTTTAAAATCTCACTCCTTTTCCAGGCTTATATGAATAAACTCCAAACTTAACTATTTATTTCTGCATTTAATTTCAATTCAAATTCAGTTCTCTCTCTGATCCAGATTAAAACGCTGGATGAGAGCCATTAGTTGCAGTGAGGTCTAACAGAAACCTTTGATTTGAGACAGAATGCAGAGGCGTAGGGGAAATGCAGAGGCGTAGGGGAAATGCAGAGGCGTAGGGGAAATGCAGAGGCGTAGGGGAAATGCAGAGGCGTAGGGGATAGAGGGCCTAGGCAGGATGCAGAGCTGTGAGGGAGGCGGACAGAAATAGCACTAGAGATTTCATGGTACCAAGCGTCCCTGGAGGCTGCGGTGTGATTGTACTGGGCCTAGCTTGAAGGCTGAGACTGGGCCAAGGAGGGTGAATCTGGCTGCTGAGAATGTGTGTGAGCTGCGAGGGAGACACCTGGCACCAGCCTCCTGCCTCYGGGTTGGCCTGGTCAGCAGCCTGGTGGCAGAACGAGTCGTGGAGAAAAGGGGAAATGGCACCTTGGTCCTAAGAGCTGKGCCTCCACAGTGTTGGAAGGCAGTGGAGCTGAGGCTGGGAGAGGGAAGGCTGTGTGTGAATTGGATAGCTTGTCTTGCTCAGTAGTGTTGGTAGTAGTATTGCTATCCTGGTGTCCCAGGGCATGAGCTGGGCAGTTTAGGGGCAGGTTGAAAATTTWAGTTTGCTCCTGACCCGTGAAGTGCCTGTGAAATCTCATGCTACGTGAAATGCTTTTGTTCTGTCCGCTTCCAGCAGAAGAGAAAACAGTGACTTCCTTCTGGCYGGCCAGCCAATGCCGAATTTAGCTGATGGGAAGTCAGGACTAAAATAACCTTGGAAACTGTAGAGTGTTGACAATGTAAATTTTTGTCCTTTTGAACAAGCTCTAAGCCTCCACTTAYGGGCTACTATTAACTAATTTTCCTGATGAAGTCTCACACTTACTGGTTCTGGGAACATATTACCAGCTCTGCATCTGGCAACTCTTACATGACTAATTGTTAGTAAAGATTGCGAGAGATAGGATAAAACTCATCAGATATAATTATCTTTACAGATGTTTGCCATGGCTGCAAACCACTTAGGCTGGACTTAGATGAGCAGACTGCTGTAAAATGCCCTTACAGGATATTCCATCATCTTAAACCACAATTCCAACCCCCTTAAAGTTGGTGGAAAGAGTCCTGCTGTATGTGCACCACAGGTTCTCTGTGGGCATCATTACGTGCAGYTCACTGCTGCTTTAAACAGCAATAACAGTGTCGTGGGGGCGACGCTCAGCAGCCGTGACCCAAACGGTGCTTAGAGACCTGCTAACTTGATGAGTTTTGTCGAGGTGTTGCCACGTGGTGGGGAGCCAGGCAAGGTCCAAGTGCTCCTCTCGAGGCTTTTCTGCTGTGCAGCTCTTGGGTTGAGCCGGGGTGGCCAGACCGCCCCGAGCAGGCCCTGCTCTCCAGCTGGGCGCTGGCCGGCGCGCTGTGGGGCTGCCTGCCCTTGGCCTGGGCACCACCATGAGGCTGCCACTGCCTTTTGTTTTTCCCCCTGAAGACTGTGGCAGCTGCTCCCTCTGCCATATTAATTGCAGGGAAGGAAATAATGAAACCCTTGCAAATTACCAAAAAAGGGTAGCTAAAAATGTAAGTTCCTTTCTCAGCTGTTATTAGTGTAATACATGGGTTTAAGAAAAAAATAATCCTCTGAACATGTTACTGTCCAAACTATTGTCGGCTTGACATGTAAAATCCTTGAGGGATGTGGGCTGGGAGGAGGCGCTGCGGGGCTGCGGCCCTGCCAGGCAGGGGCTGCCCCACGTGTGGGGCTGGTCGAGGCGCACGGGGCTGGGGGCTCCCACGTCAGCAGCGCCTGTCACTGCCCAAGCCCCTGGTCTGGGGGCACCACGGCCTTTGGTTTGCCCAGGGCTGAGGGCAAATGATGTCCYTTGTACTTCTCTTTGCTGTGAAGTGAGAATTTCATTATTATTTTGTGTGATATGGAGGTAGTATTAATATTTGGGGAGAAGCTGGGAATTTTGCGGTACACCAAAAGCAAGCAATAAGGTTTCAAAAGGGTGATAGGTAGAAGGACTTAAGCGTGTAGCCTCTGTAGGATGTCTGCCTGTCTTTGGGGTGAATACAGGGGGTTGGGAGGTGCCTCCCCAGACCACCACCCTACAGTACACCCTACTCCAAACAGTGAAGTGCTCTCTAGCAAGGCTGCAGTTGCAGTGGAAGCCCAGTGTGCTGTTGCTGTCTGCTTGCCACGGGAGCTGCGGCTGTAATGTTAAGGTTCGTTTTGTGTCTCCCACCTGGGTTTTCCACGTGGTTTTGGAAAGCTTTTCCAGCGTGCCATGCTGTGCGCAGCCCGGCCTTGGCCCGTGCCTGCCGGGGTGCTGGTGCTGTGTGTCCTCGGCGCGGCGACGCGCCCTGCGCTTCCTCGCTCTGCCGTYGCTGCCGCTGCCTGTGTGACACGGGGCAGGGCAGGGGGCAGCCGGGCAGGGGGCTCCTTCTGAGACTGCTTCTGCGGGGCTGCTGGAGGGATGCGCTGCCATCCTGCTGGGGTGACCAAGCCACTAGTGTGGCAAAGAGATCAGGGTATTCCCAAGCGGCTGAAGTGCTCTAGGATATAATCTGCCTAGATGTGGACAGAAGTGTATTAATTTCTCCTTCCAGAACTGCTTCCTCTTTCTGTCTGCACCACACAGTTCTCTCCCACTTGAAGTCCTGTTTTGAGGCTGATGGCTTTGGGTTTTGCTTCTCACAAATATGTGCTTGTTCACCTGCCAGGCTTGAGCAGGCGCTGCCCTCCAGAGCAGCCAGTGCCATGCTACTGCTCTGCAGAGATGACCTGGTGTGTGGGAAGGAAAAAGAGCCCTGTTTCTAAAAGCTAAGGAATAGAAGCACAAGAAAAGCACCAATCTGCCAAGAGGTGGTGCAGGGCAAATCTTCCTGATCAGTCCCTTCTTCAGACAGCGCCTTGTTTTCTGTTCTGCTTTTCTTCTTTTCATCTTTCTCTTGAAAGACCAAACTGTTCTAGGCTCCCAACAGCCCCAGCCTTATTCTCCCTGTGTCAAACGGGCCAAGAACCTTTTCCTGTGTCTGCAAAGATGGATTTATCCTGGCTGAGTCGGAAACTCAGCTCTGCCCCCTTGTCTCAGCCCAGCCTACCCAGCCACACTTTGCCCACCTTGCCCAGCCTACCCAGCCACATCTCTGCAAACCTGAGATCTCCCTTCAGTGAAAATCACCCCATGCGCTTTAGTGACTCACTGCTGTGCTCACCCCTTCCTTCCAAATGAAACCTCACTAGAAAGCAGCTGCAAGGACCAGCTTGTTGCATGGAGAGAGCAAGCGAGGGGCTAAACGCACATAGCGCGGAGGAGCCCCAAGGAAGCATCACTGGGATGCTCCATGCAGAGTGCCCTGTGCAGCTGCTGGAGACGGCATGGGGCCGCGTGTGCCTGGGCTCACAGGCTGCACCCGCCACATTGCTCAAGGCCAGAGAGTTAAAAAAGGGCACAAACCCGCCCTGCCCTCGTGAGCCCCCGGCAGCTGTGGCTGCGGACCGTTGTGAGGACACTGGGGACAGATGGGAGCCTTGCAGCAGAGGTGGGTTGTTCCTGAGAGCCTAGGAATGTGTTGAATGTAAATTGCGAAGCCTGTCACCTATGGCTGCATTGGAACTGGTCTGCATGCACCCAGAGAGGGGGAAAGCAGCCTGCCCTGCTCTAGGCTGCTCCTTTTGCCTTCACGAGCTATCGAAGGTAATGTTACTCACAGCTCTAATTGATCCCAACTTCAGCACTCTAACAGAAAGTAAGAGGGTGTTTGTCAGCTCAAACCTGTTACCTTAAGTTCTCAATTCCATAAAGCACAAAAGAAGTGCTGGGCAATCCGTGTCTCAGAACAGGCCCATATTCCTGCCTCCAGGCCAAACACAGGGAAGCAAAGAGGTGAATGGTCCTGGTTAGGTTTTTTAAGTCTGCCTTAGCTGAACTAGATGGACGGAATTGGCCAAGCTGGGCATCATGGAGGAGGATGGTGAAGTGCTAGCACTGTTGGCTCTGTAGAGGGCAAAATTGTATCCTACAGCTGCTGCTGTTACAGGGCTTGGGCTTTGCAATTCTCCAGTGTTTGTTTTCTGAGCAAGGCAGCCCAAGCTCTGCTGCTCTGCACAAGGGCCCAGGGAGCAGGCGCGAACTCGCCAGCCTTGGGAAGTGASAAGTAGCCCAGACCTAATGAACAGGGTGCTGCCGACAGGGCACTGAGGCTTCCTTTAAATCCTGGTGGTCTTCTWCATCTACCTCCTAGAACAACCGTGGTCCTTGCTGCCTACAAAGCCTGCAAAGGTGTTTTTTTTTCCTCTCTCCAATCCTGAGAGAACAAACTCCCATCAGAGACTGGAGAAAGCTGCTGCTTCATCTCCCACTTCCCCTCAGTGCCCTGACATGGGGGCAAGTGTTTTCCCAGGCTTGAGGCCACATTTCCCCATCTTTGAGAGCAGACTCCAGAGCACAACCAAGTTCCCCTGCAAAGCAGAGGGATCCCTTTGGGGATGCAGAACTGGGAAATGGTGAGGAACCGCATCAGTCTTCTGCAGCTGGGAGCAGGAGTGCAGGTCCAACCTTCAGCGAACATTAGTGCTACCTATAGATGTTTTAGATGTTGAATATGTTTTAGCAGTTGAAATTTAAACAGAATTTTGAATGTATTTTAAATGTTCCTGGGTCTGACATTGTGCTACGTGCAGCRCTCAATAAAATGGTGTTTTTTCCTTTAGTCCAGAAAAAGCAGAATTCATGAAGGACTGTGAAAGCTCATACTCCAGCTGGAAGTTTTCCGGAGGATTTCGAACTTGGGTGAAGATGTCCCTGGTGAAAACCAAAGAAGAAGATGGTAGCGAGACTGTGGAATTCAAGCAAGAGGTAAGAAATGAAGCTTGGGAAGAGTTTTTTTGAGCACTGTCAGTTAATTTAAAAACTATTTACTGCCAAAAAATTGATGTTTTTGGATGATAATTGACTGACAGATCCATTTCTTGCAACAAATGGCAACAGGAGTTGGAGAGAGGGAGAAAACTCCTTTTTTTAATGCATTATCTATAAACTGGCTTTTGTTTCAATGCTTTCCTTACACCACTTGCCTTTGAGCAGTTTCAGAGTCTGTGTGGTTACTTGTGTTCCTTCTTAACAAGGAGAGGTTTTGCAAAAGCATTAATACCTTGATGAGCCTAGAGCCATATCTTGGAAAAACATGTGATGGAGAAGCCAGAAGATGCAGCCTGTGACTGTATTATCAGTGAGACCTGCAGGGATTGATTTCTTAGAAATATTAACACAGCTCCTTTAGTTCCAAGCTGTGGTTTCCAAAGTAATTGTCTAAAAATGGTGTGGAATGGAAAGAGTTATTGTTTAGATTACCAGGGGGATGATGTTAGGGTGAACAGGTGAACACAAGCAGGGTATCTTTTGTAGCCCTGCTGATGTCTGCTTTTTGTTTGGATTTGGGACTCTTATCTGTTGAGAAGCCTTAGAAACAGGGAATAACTCATTTTTTTTGTATCATTCAAAATTATAAAACATGGACTCAGACTGGAAAAGTCTGACTCCACCTCAAAAAGGTCAAATTTTTCTTGACTGGAAGCATTTATGGACTAGGAGCTAGGGAATTGGAATAGGCACAGAAATGAATTTCAGGTTTCCGTTCCCTATTAATAATACAGGAGAACTGAAGCAGCTCAGGCATCAGTTGCACTTGTCTYATTGGCAGTGCAGGAGAGTTCAGTGCCCATGCAAGCGGAGCAAGGCAGCCCAATAGCCTGTCAAAGGGGAAAGCAGGAGAGCGTGCCAGGAAGATGCAGCCCGCCCGTCGCAGTTAAATTGTGCTCGTTTCCYGACGTGCCGCTTTCTTCAGCGGGCGCAGTGATGGCTCTGAACTGTGAGGGACTCCCGTGGTGGAGGATGCACGTGAGGCAAAAGTGTTTGACCAGCCTGGGTTGGCCAACGCGAGCCRGGGAAGCTCTAAAGCGCGCTGGATGGACACACATAATGTGGTATCTCCTGCTCCCAGGAGCTCACAGCCTAAAAATGTGGTGAATTCACAGGAAGGGAAAGGGAAGACTCAGAGGAAGGCTAAAGGGAAACCTTAAGGTGTTTGTAYAGAAAGTGAGCCAGTAAATGAGCTGTTAGGTGCTGCATGACCATGTGCAGCYCTGAACTGAGTAGCAGCACTGCTGGATTCACTGCTTCCAGTGTTACTATCGCCTTGGGGGAGCAGCATCCTGCCTTGGGTGCAGGGAGGCACGGAGCAGGGAAGGGCGGGTGTCTGCCGTGCCTGCAGTTGCCCTCCCACGAGCAGCTGGGGTCATTTATACCCTGCCCTGGCAGTAAGGGGTTAGTGCAGCCCGCCCGCCCTCAGGCTCTGCAGAACTCCCTCTGGTTGCGGAGGGGCCTCTCAGAGCAGCACCTTGCTGCTGCTGGTGGTTGGGGGGCAGCACCTTGCTGCTGCTGCTGGTGGTTGGGGGGCAGCACCAGGCTGCTGCTGGTGGTTGGGGGGCAGCACCTTGCTGCTGCTGGAGGCCCTTAAGGCCAGTCACACGCTCGCATGGCTGCCTGTGGTCTCAGCCTCCGAATCTCGGAGCTGGGATGCAGCACTTGTGTGCTTGGGGTTGCGTTCAAACTGTAACCTCCTTAATGGGAAATATGCTTTTAATTGCTCAACTCTGGCRTTTTCTTCACCCTCCACTTCCAGTTTTTAAGCTGGATGGATAAAGGCATTTCCAAAGCCACCTGCAGCCATCCAAGGATGCCGTAGGCTGCGCTGAGCRATGGTGCTCTTGGCTCCCCTGGAGCAATTGCACTCAGCAGGTTCCCTGGCCAGTAGCCTCCCAAGGAGGGCTGCGGTCAGGAACCTCCTGCTGCCTCAGCCCCTTCCCAGCGAGCAGGAGCAAATCCGCCCGTGCTGCTTCTGCCCTGCCGCCCTCCTCCCTCCGAAGGGATGTGGGCTCAGAAAGGGCCGCGCGGGCAGTGCAGCGCCTCGCCGCAGCGCTGCCCTGGCTGTGTGCGCCGCGCGGCGAGCGCGACGGGGCTGAGCTTGGGCAGGGCTGCGCTCGTGAACAGCCAGCAGCTGCAGGAGGCTGAGCCCAGCCGTCCAGGGAGGGCAAGGCTGAGTTTGGAGTCCCTTCATGATGACCCTGCTCTTAGATCTGCTCTTTCCACCTCCCTCCAGGCTGTGGCTGCTGTGCGGAAAACTGCGTTAAAAATCAAAGGCAGTAACAGGCATGTCCTCTTTTCCTCTCTGCAGACTAGCGTGGTTAACTATATTGACCAGAGAACTAAACCCAGAAGCGACCAGCTGTTTTTTGTGGTATTTGAGTGGAAAGATCCCTTCATCCAGACTGTTCAAGATGTGAGTAACGCGCTCGTCCCTCCTSCAGCCCTTGCCTGACCGCGAACGTGTGTGGCCCGAGTGCACCTGCCCTTATCCCCCGGCCCCAGTGGGGACTAGAGGAAGAGCGAGGTCCCGCCTAAAATTTCAGGCCAAGCCCTTGCCCTCCAACCAGTTCTGTGTCTTCTGCTGGGGTCAAGGGCATTTGAAGCCTTTTGTTGGCTTGGTGACATGCCCCTTTCTTATTGCAGTCACATAGGCATGAAGCTAAGAGAAAGCCTGGGTGCCCTGCATGGCAGCAGAGCCTAGCTTTAGGTCAGGTCTCAGCTTTTTGCCTAGATAAGAGTGCTGCAATAAACTGATTTAGTGACTTTTCCTCTGAATGGACAATCCAGAAACCTCGACTCAAATGGGAACAATAAAAAGTAATCAGCTGGTGTGGTTCATTTGGACAGAATTTGGCTTTAAGCTGTCCTGCCCCTCTCAGTGGGTGCTCCCCAGGCAGCCAGGGTGCTGCGCGCAGCGCGGGGCTGCGTGCGGGGCCTGCGCCTCGTGGGCACCTCTTTGAATGTCGCTGATGACTTTTTAAATGAGGCGTCCGAGGCAGCGTAATCCCTAGGGGTAAAATGGGCAATTTACCTGTATCTCTAGACATTGTTTAAATGATTTACCATCTTCAAGAGTCTAGAAGAAGTTGGGAGCTAGAAGGGACACCTTCTGGAGCCAGTGTGTGTCCTTCCTGGCAAGAGGGAACTGGGAAGATCCTGAAGGGAGGTGGCCTTTGTGTGGAGGCAGCTCTGCAGAGCAGTGTCCCCTGCTGCAGGACACGTCGCTTTGAAAGCTGGAAGTGGTTGTTACTGAGCAGGCACAGTATTGGTTGAGGTGGATGAAAGGGAATAATGGTTTTAATTTCTTTCAGATAATCACAGCAAATCCTTGGAACATGATTGCGCTGCTCTGTGGTATCTTTTTGGCTCTGTTTAAGGCAGCAGACTTTGCTAAGTTAAGTGTTAAGTGGATGATCAAAATCCGCAAGAGACATCTGAAGAGAAGTCAAGCAATGAACCACATAAGCTGAGAATGAGTGCCTCAAGCTGAGACTAAAAGACTGCCTTTTAAGTATTCATAGCAGAAGGAATAGAACATAACTGGAACAAACGTCAATCGGCAACTACAGCTGTAAACCAGGTATCTTTTCCGCAGAACACTCCTCGGCCGAGCAAACTGACACTTCATCTTCCAAAGGGAGCTAACCCTCGGCCACGTCTAACCAACTCACGCTATTTTAACTCAAATCTAATCCACTTACCTCGATGCCTGGTGTGTGAGGGAGCGGGAATTCACTGGTGTTCRGCAGGTCAGTGCTGCAGGGGCTGAGCTCTGTCACTGCGCGGGGTTTGAACTTGTCTCAGCCAGGAGAGCGCCTARCGCGGCGCGAGCCCCGCGCTCCTGCCGCCCCTCCCCAGCTGAGCTCAGATACACTGGAGTCCTGGTGCCTTTGGATTTARACATGTAGTGGCATTATTATTAAAAGACACCTAAAATAAGTTCCTGTGTGCATTGTCTAAGATTCCTGCTCTTAGCTTCAGCTAAGTCCGACAGGAATATTAGGCAAAAAAGTTGAAGTGAAAAACATTCCTGATCAGTCTGAGCCTCATGTGTGTTTTTACTAKTTATTTTCTAACATAGATGCTGCACAAATCAATCAGGTAAGTTGAAGACACCCTTCAGGCCTGCATCAGCTTGGCCTATTAATGGGATTTATTGTTTTTTCTTTCCACATGTCCCTTCCTGAGGCGGGGGCCCAGCTCAGAGCCGCAGGGCAGCAGCCCCAGCGTTTGCCCAGGGCTGCTCCTTGCTGAGGGGYTTGTTGCCCCGGTGCCTCTTCCCTCCCTTGAGCCAAGCGTGGGGGCTGGAAGGGCAGAAAACACTCCCATGTGGGACCTGTAGCTCTAGCAGGGCTGGGGCRAGGCCCTGAGGGAAAGATGGGCTCTTCTCTACACTCTTCCTTTTCYTTTTTTAAACTAATTAATGTAGCAGCTGCCTTCAGTAGCTCCCTTACATCTATCACCACCCTTTGTTTTATGAGGAAACGTTACTGCTACAGACAGGTTTCCTGGCTGGAAACAGGTGGCCTATCTAGTACGTGCACTATTTTTAGGTGGGATGCCAGTAACAAGCACTACCCCATTTATTTGAAATATTCTTAATATTCTTAATATTGAMTATATTATAAGAATATATATAATTCTTAATATTGAAATATTCTTCTTAAACTATTGCCTTTTCCYCCCTTACTTATTCTTATGTTCCTCTTTGTACAATTTTGAACCACTTTGGGTCCGGTCCCACAGGGCAAGGGTTTGTGTCAGTGCTGCGGACGGTAACTGACTGCTGCAGAGCCCCGCTCCTTGCAGGAACTGCTCTTGCTGCCCCTTAGCAGCCCTAGGTTAGTAATGCCTTGCTTCAGGAAACACCACACCGAGTACTGAAGTATTTCCCTCCCCATCCCTCTTTGGGAATGCATCGGGGAGCTGGTTCCCCCCTCCTCAGCAGGGGACGGGGAAGGGCAGCAACAGCTCGGCCCTGCTCTGGCGCAGAGGGAGCAGCACGAGCGCGAGGCCCTTGTTGCACAGGGGGCCCGCGCCGCTCCCCAGCCCCTGCTGCGCCTGGTGCTGCTGCTGGGCACGGGGCAGCAGCGCTGGGGCCGGCTGCTTTCGGSCTCCTTGAGGCCTAGGGCTGCACTTGCCTCTTGCAAAGGGACASTCGAGAGCTTCTCTTGTTTGACCTCTTCAGGCAGCAGTGGAGAGGAAAGGGAGCCCCTTAGAGACAGAGACTAAAACAATAATAGAATTTGTTTTTTTTTTAAATGTCAAAGTCATACACTGTACTATAGACTTCTCCCTGCTGCCTGAATTAAGTCAGTAAAACAGCCAAAGAACAGTCAAAAAAACAACTTCAGGACCAGGTCTCAGCTGTGCTCTCCCACTCCTGCTTTGCTCTTCCAGGCAGGAGCAAAACCTGCCACCCTCAGTCACCTCAACACAGAGCCCAGGGCCCTGCAGCTCTCAGTGCTGCAGGTCATTGAAACACGTGTGGTACAACTAAGGTTTTGGGTTAAGAGCCCTTCTAAGGCTCTTGGTCTTTCTAAACACAAACATGTGATATACGGCACTAAATACAAACATAAAGTCTTTATTGAATGCTGCTCAGTTCCCCAAAGGTCTTTCAATACAAAAGTTTTCCACACAACTGCAATTTAAAGAGATTGGAATGGTACTCTGATAAAAGATGTGAAAAATACTTGATCAAGTAAAACAGACAAGACTTCTATAACCAACTTCCACCTTCAAGGGGCAGACTGCATTTTCTTAAATAAAACAAGGGATTCCTCACCGAGGGTGCTCCTGCCTTGCCGCAGGGCCGGGCAGCCACATGGACCGACCGGCATTCCAAGGTTTCCCTCACTCTCCCATGGGCTGCTGCAAATCCCAATTCAAGCTGGAAGCTCCCTTCAGTGCTGCGAGGAGCACAGAGCAGGTGGCTCCCGTTACCAGTAACCTTGGTTTTATTTGAGAAGATACAGCACAGCTAGAAGCCTTTTCTATAATCTTAACCAAGGTTTGCAGCGCTGTGAAAAGCACGTATAAAACAAGGAAAAAAATGTACAGAGCAAACTATACCACCTATGTGCAACACAATCAAAAATTCAAGTCATTGTTCTCACCACTCCCATAATTATTTCACTCATTAAAGATAATTCAGTTCTATGAAACGTTGGAAGTGACAATATATCAATAATTAGACAAAATTTACAATATGCTGTGGTAATGACATCACTTAACTGCTGAACTTAAATTCTTTTTTTTTCATTTACATTTTGCCAGAGAAAAAGTCAGCTGTTCCTATTATACTGRTGAGGTTTATTTTGCAAGTTTTTCTATATTTCAAAACGGTAGGAAAAAAAAGTATCCGTGTCGTGTAGAGGTTGTCATTTTGTTTATTTGGCACTTGGGTTGTGTGCATTGAGCACGCCGTGAGTGCTGTTCTGCTTTTCTGCCAGGGCCTTCTTCAGCTTCAGCTCCTCGAGCTTCCTCCACAGCTCTTCACGTTCCAATTCCTTCTTCTTCTCTCTGCAAGAAGGAAATGCCAATTTCAGATGGGCTTTAAAAACTATGTATAGATGGAGCTGTCCCAAACAACCCATTCATATCCAGTGATCCCTCAGCTTGCTTTTCCCCAAAGCTTTTCTTAGAGGCAAAGGACAACTGGACAACTTGCAAGCTCCAGGGCAGCTTCACCCTGCTTGCCTGATGCCTGCAAGTCTCGGGAGGTTCTTCATCATGTGCCAACACATTTAGACAGYGAGTGCCACGGGAGGCAGAGGAGAGGCAGTGAGAGGGGGCCGAGCCCGGAGGCCCAGGACAGGCTCAGCGGGATAAAGAGGCAGCTCCAGGGGAGCAGCCCTCCAGCCAGGGCCCACAGCAGCGCCGGGAGCCCCTCCTGGCGGCTCCCACAGAGGCGCTTCCCAACCGGGCAGGGCCCGGAGCCCCCGCCAGCGCGTTGCGTGGGCCAGCCTCGCCTCGGGAGGGCTCCCGGTACCTTTGCCTTTCTGCCTTGTACGAGCTGGTCAGCTCGTCAAAGAGCTTGCCGTTCATCTCCATGAGCGTCTTCAGCACGTTGTACACGAGCGCCACGATGGTGCTAGGGCAGAAGGAACACAGCAGCCCGTTATCCACACAGAACAGTCTCTGGAGAACAGCCTCCTTTGGGGACTCTGAACTTTGCTTTTGAGATGCTACTGTAAGGTCAATGAGCTCCTCAAGCAAAATTATTTACTGTAACTTTCTCTGTAAACAAAGAAAATTCCTTTTTTATTATTTTATCTTATTATTTATTTTTTAAATGGCTATATGGCTCTAGCACTGCCCAGGGCATAAGCATTACTGTGGCTGTATAATAAAAGCCACTCGGTCATGTTAACATTTACAAAGCTGAGTTTTCACAGCAGTTTTACAATATCTAAAATACTTGTGAGTCTACAGAGCTGCTGGCCAACAGCCTGGACGCTGGGCAGGACAGGGCAGGGGGCTGACACACACTGGGTTAAGATGGTGTTTGTGGAGTCCACCAGAAGCGTTTATGGACAGCACAGTTCTACAGCACAGGCTTCACTAGGGAATTCAGTCAAGCTACACCATCAGATAATRATTTGGGGTTTTTTGTTTGTTTGCTTCTTTTCTTACTGTACAGGAGACAGAGGCCTATTTTGCATAGTTGTCACTATTTTCACTCCTACTCCATTTACTCTTTCATGTTTGGATCATAAGGAGATATACAACTTATAGCATGGGAAGGGTTAAACATTACATACGGATTCCAGTGTTCTTTGGAGATCTTGTATAAACTGCCAAACATAATTGGTAGAATTTTATCAATGTTCTCCTCAATCAGACTAAGAATATATTCATTATTCCAGAAGTACAAAGCTCTTTCTGCAACCTGAAATACAAATTTTAGGGGTCAAAACCCACCAAATTAGTTACTACAAGTTATTTTTATACTTAATTTTGTGTTTTTATTTACCTGAAAATGTGAACTTGATACACACTTGGATATTTGCTTAAATAGAGGCTCTTCTACTTTTTTGAACTGCGTYGGTTCTATTACATCTAAGATTTCTTCAATTTCACCTAAGAACATCACCTGTTTATGTAAGAAAGCACACCAGAAAGCATGAGGACATTTTGCATTGCCAAGACAGACAAGATACAGCTTGCACTTTGGTCACGAGCCCTGCGGGGAGCAGAGCCTGTCACCGTGTTGTAGGGAAGGCCACGGCTCAGCTCCTGGGCACCCCGAATGAAGCTGGTTGTTGCATTCACCACCACCACATTAAAGCTCCCATCTTGGATCGCTGTTGCTCCCAGTGCTTCAACCCTGCTGCTTTGTCAGCTGCTTTTTTAAAATAATTTAAAAAATGCTAAAACCTTTTGTTTCTTCCAGAGTGGCTGCCAAGGCTGTTGTTAGTGGAGATGTCCAGAGCAGCTGCCAGGTGGTAGGTCCTTAACTCCAGTTTTAAGTGACCAGCAGCAATGGGGGCAGCAGCGTGGAGAGCTGAGCCCTGCTCACGCTGGGGGCTCTGATGCTGAGGGGTCCCACTAAAAAGCAACCGGGGAAGTGGCATCTGGTGGCACAGAAAGTCATCGAGTTCCTATCTCTCGTTATATAGGAGACAATCAGAAATACGATCTTCCCAAAGTCATTTCGAGTTGCATTTACACATCTGCGCTGCAGCAGAATTCCATGCGGTAGCTCCCTCACTAATCGCTGCACACGGGTGTTGCAGTACCTGCAGCCTGCCTGTCTCCAAGCTGGYTCCCCTCTGCTAAAGGGATTTGCATCTCAAAAAAGTTACTCCTCTAGAGGACAGCTTAAATATTATGTGACTTCTAACACAGCTTTGAGAGACCAGCAGCAGAGTAAGAAGTGGCA